ATCATGCATAATACATGCATATTATAAATCGGTAACTGTAATTAACAATTATCTATCAACTTATCGAGAGACTTTTTTTTTTCTCTTTGCATTGTAAATAAAATTCTGTTTGCTGTTCAGAGGGGAAAAAAAAAATATGAGGAAAATTTACAGTTAATTTTGTGGTTCAATCTTTTTTTATTTTTTTGCTATTATTATTTGAATGAACACTTCCAACAAACATTCAATTTAGAACGCCGACTGCAGAAAAAAAAACCGAATATTGTCAGCATAATTACAGGTTAATAAAAGATTGGTAAATTTTTCTTTCTGTTCCTCTTCTTTTTTTTTCTTTTTTGCTTTGTTTACTTATTTATTCTTCCTTTATTTTACCTTATCTGTGAACGTAAGTATGAAGAAAAGTTTAGAGAATGTTTGATTTTGTCGCTTTTTTTTTTTCCTGTTGAGGTCTGATGCTGAACGGTGATTTATAGAACCATTATTTATTTATGGTTGTTATTCAACAGAGCAATCTGTTTCATGCTGCTTTTTTTTTTCTCCATGTTTTTGTTCTCCTTCTCCTCCTGTGCAGTAAGAAAGCTGCTTTTATTTACAAATTATTTCCTTTAACCCAGCAAAATGTCATTCAAAAAAAAAAAAAATTTTTTTTTCTTTGTTCTTCTCTTTTGTTTGTCCCACAACTCAGCTGTTGCTATCACAAATTTTCAGTTGTATCCGCACAAAGAATGAATGACAACGATGCATATCTTCGCATTGAACAACTTTCCGATAGCAAATATTAAAGTGCTGCAATAAGAGTAGCCCCAAAGAATCAGTGCAATGAGACGACAGAGTTAATGTGTCTCTTAAAGGTAACCGTTTATCAGCAAATTTATCTCTTTGTTCTCAGTTTGCTTTATTCTCTATTTCCATTGTTTCCACCATATTTCTTGTAAAATAATCAAAAGAATGGAAAAAAAAAAGCAAAACAAAATAAAAGCTTATCGAAAACATTGCTTTTATACAGATCAAATTTGCATCTCCCTCATATGCAGAGAGAGTAAGAGAGAGGTGAAAAAAAAAAAAAAAGAAAGAGGGCAACAAGACAGGTATGAACACAGAAGGAATCATAGTGGATGAAAAACGAGACAAGTTAAGAGAAAAGTGAACAGCAATAAAAAAAAAATGCGGTAATACAGTTTATCCAGCACTAAAAAAAAAAAACTAGGTTTTTTCCCAAAAACTTTCTAACTAACGTAGCAGTAAAATAAAAAGTTGTTGACACCACTTAACGCTGGCCGATTTGTTCAATTAAACTAAGATTTTAAAATACGTCCCAGGCTTTCCCTTTTTTTTTTTTTTTTTTTTTTTTTGTCAAATAACAAAAAATTTGGTCTTTTGTAGTAGGAAGCAACAATAAAATTTGACGGCGGTAACTGCAGTAAGATTACAATTCTTTTCCTAAACATGAAAAGCAAGTAACTTTCTTTATTCTCCTCTCTGCTTACATTTCTTTTTCCCATTTATTATTGCATTACTATTACTTTTTTTCTGCGGCGTATAAAACGACTGGAAAACTGAAAATGTTGAAAAACTATAAGAAATGTTTTGGGCCCGCAGCAGAAGTACACAAGCAACTTTTTTAATTTGATTTCTTTCCCTTCTCCTGTTTCCACCCCCATCCCCCCTCCCCCCTCCATTCCTAAACAAACCAACCGATTTTCCAAGTTTATTAAGGTGCCAACAAAACCCTGTAACACAGTTTACGTAGTCAGTCCTGGTTCCATACGCTCTTTTTTTTGTATTCGTTTGTATAAATCCATAAGTTCTTTTCGAATAACAGCTTTACAGCTGAAACACCCATCCACAACAAATCGTAAATGTACAACATTTGAACAAAAGAAACACTTTTTTATGAAAAGAATTACCGATGGAAGTTTAACTAAGATAGTAAAAAATAAGGAGAAAGACGAAAGACTTTTAGTGTTTTGAAACAACTTGGAGTAGCGTAAGCAAAAAAAGTTTCGTAATTGCCTCGCAGGCATGAAACTATTGCGATACTTGTGAAGCAGCGTGAAAAAGCAACTAAATGTTATAAAGTTATAAAGATAAGCAGGATAAAAAAAGTAAAAAATGAAATTGAAAATTGAAGTAGAGCAACAACAAATTTTTGAACTCTAAAATCGCAGTTGTCATACTATTCCATGGAGAAGGTGGTGATGGGTATAGGGTAGATAGTGGAGTGCCTATGCTAATGATCGTTGGTGAAGCTGTTGACGAAAATGTTGAGGGTACAGCAGTCACAGGAAAATGGCAACAACAGCTAGAAATGAGGTAGAAGGGAACCAAAAACTATGTGATACTGCTGTTGTAGCTACCAGTTTGATAAAAAACCTATCTTTGAGCATGTCAAAGCCATTTTTATTAGACTGAGATGGCGCATCTACTTTGGTAAGCCGTTTGCCGCCGCTATGCCGCTGTTTGAAGGTAAGCAAACAGCGGCGCTGCCATTGCAACAGTTGGTTACCTTTGCCAGTAGTTCACATCATTCATAGTTGCCACTAAATCTATCAAGAAAAAAAAAGATTCATCACATCCCGCTTTCGTCAGCATTTTTTTCCACTTATTCTTTCCCAAATTACTTTCTCCATATTCCTCGTTACTGCCATCTTTCTGTTCCTCTCTGTTTTCTCTCCTTTTTCACTTCCCCTTTAAACCCACTCTCCCACCCATCTAAGTTTTTAGAGTCATAAAACTAAAACTGTTCGTTAACAAACATAAAACACAGTCAAAATCGTCGTCACCGTTGTCATCATCACCATTACCATCACCATCTACATCATAATCATCACCATATTATCATCATCGTCGTCATCATAGTCGCGATCGTCGTTATCATAAAGAAACTCTAAAATTAGGCATTCAAAAATTTGCACATCAAAAGACTGCTTTTTTTCCCCAATTCTTCTTCGTTCTACGTCTCCTACAGTGCTGGCGCTGTCGATGCTGCTGCTGCAGCAAACAAGGATTTACACAGCTAAATTTACGCAAACAACAATCTCAGCAATAATAATGGCCATATCTAATTTCTCTTCCGTGACCATCGCAGTATTTGACAAAAAAGGCACATGTGCTGTTAGTGACTACAATGAATCAAAATAACTTGACTGGAGAAAAAAAGAAAACTGAGCTTATTATAACTCTCTTGTTGACTTTATTCTAACTCCCATTTTAGATTCATTTATTTTTTATTGAGCAGTACAGGAACAGAGTATAAAATGTATCTATGTACTTCAAAACGCATATTTCTTTGAGGCATTTTGAGCTGTTAGCTTTGCCTATCAAAATGCCTTTAACCAGTTTTTTCAAACATGATTACAGCAACACAACAGTCCACCTTTTCTCCAATCTTCCTCTTAACACCAAACACTGTTTCCACTGTAACTTCTACAGCAAATGTTTTTTTTATTTTAAAACTCTTGTATACTGACGTGGTGAACAAACGAAGTACAGTTTATACCATATATTTATAATATTATATTTCTCCACCTGTTAGGCTTAATTATTCTATTCATCAACAATTCTTACCTACATTGTTGGTTTTTACAGAGTGTTTTTGGTAAATACTGATGCCATAGAAATATGTGCGCATAAACACAGCGGTAGAACTAAAAAAAATCAAAGCTTCCAAAAACGATTTCGGTTATGGAGAGACAAGGAGAGGGTGGGAGAGAGAGAACAAATACGGCAATCATTGTCTGTAGTTCAAAAATAGCTCATCTTTAATAATCAGCCCAAAATTTCTAGAATTTTTTTGTCAATTTTTTTGATGAGGTTTCACTTTTAAGTTCTTTCACTTATTTTCATTTTTGTTTTTATTTTTATTTATTTATTTATTTGTTTATTTTTTTTTGATATATTCATTTCTTTTTAATAGTGACGACAGAAATATAAACAAATTTTAAAAAGAATTTTTAAAACCTGATACTTTAAAGCAGTTTATTGATTCTTATTCAACAGGTCAACGACTTTAAGACGTAACAATTCTTGTACATTTCAAAAAAAAAAAAAAATGGAATAAAATAGAAAAAAAATAAAAAATAACAAAATAAAAAATTGAAAATAAAAATGAGAATAAAAAAAGAATGCGGTGGTTTAATTGAAAATTAAAAAGCAGTTTTCTTTTCTGATTTTGTTGTTTCTTTTCCATATGGGAAAAACTTTGCATGTTACTGCACCCCGCCACGATGATGAAGTGATGGAGAAGGATAAAAAGTGAAGAATCAGTGCTGTTCATGTTGACGGAGGATTGATCGGGCAACCGACCATAAAACTTACACATGCCGTTAGTACCAACATTCCATATTCAGAATTTCAATCCTAAGAACAAACTTTTTTTTTTTTTTTTTTTTTTT